GAAACCTGGTGGGATAAGTCGCACGATTGGAATGTAATAATGGGGGGATACAATCTATTTCAGAGAAACAGACCAGACAAGAAAGGAGGAGGAGTGGCGTTATATGTCAGGGATGTGTATACCTGTGAAGAGATCCAAGATTTAGAACCTCAAAGCCAAAGTGAGAGCATTTGGGTCAAAATTAAGGAGAGAAGAATAACAGTGACCTCATTGTGGGAGTTTACTATAGATCCCCAAGCCAAACGGAGGACATAGATGATACCTTCCTGGAACAGATGGCCAAGCATGCAAAAGGAAGGGAGATAGTAGTAATGGGGGACTTCAATTACCCGGATATTTGTTGGATGTCAAACTCAGCCAAGAGCATAAGGTCAAACAGATTCCTCACTGGCCTTGCAGACAACTTCATTGTCCAGAAAGTGGGAGAAGCAACAAGAGGAACAGCCATTTTAGATCTGGTCCTAACCAATGTTGATGACCTGGTTAGTGGGGTAGAAGTGGAAGGATCATTAGGCGCGAGTGATCATGCTCTTCTGAAGTTTACTATACAGCGGAAAGGAGCAGCCAAGCATACTAGGACTCAATTTCTTGACTTTAAGAAAGCCGACTTCATAAAACTTAGGGAAGTGCTGGGTGAGATCCCATGGACAGTAATACTAAAAGGAAAGGGAGTTCGTGATGGCTGGGAGTTTGTTAAGAGGGAGATAGTAAAAGCACAACGTCAGGCAATACCAATGAGACGGAAACATGGAAGGTGCCTAAAGAAGCCAGGGTGGCTATCTAAAGAACTTTTAACTGAGTTAAGATCAAAAAAGGATGTGTACAAAAAATGGAAAAGGGGAGAAACCACCAAAGAGGAATTCAAACAAATAGCCAGCACGTGTAGACACAAAGTCAGAAAAGCTAAAGCACAGAACGAACTCAGGCTTGCTAGAGAGGTTAAAAGCAACAAAAAGGCTTTTATGGGTATGTTCGTAGCAAAAGGAAGAACAAAGAAACAGTGGGGTCACTCAGAGGAGAAGATGGTGAAATGCAAACAGGGCACACAGAAAGGGCTGAACTCCTCAATGCCTTCTTTGCCTCAGTCTTCTCCGATAAAGAAAACAATGCCCGACCTGAAGAATTTGAAGCAAATGATTCAGCAAAGGAAACACAGCCCAGAATAACTAAGGAGATAGTACAAGAATACTTGGCTAGTTTAGATGTATTCAAGTCTCCAGGGCCAGATGAACTGCATCCAAGAGTATTAAAAGAACTGGCAGATGTGATCTCAGAACCACTGGCAGTCATCTTTGAGAATTCCTGGAGAACAGGCGAAGTCCCGGCAGACTGGAGGAGGGCAAATGTTGTTCCTATTTTCAAAAAGGGGAAAGAGAGGACCCAAATAATTACCGCCCAGTCAGTCTGACATCAATACCAGGGAAGATTCTGGAGCAGATCATTAAGCAAACAGTTTGTGAGCACCTAGAAAGGAATGCTGTGATCACCAATAGTCAGCATGGATTTCTGAAAAATAAGTCATGTCAGACTAACCTGATCTCGTTTTTTGGACAGAATTACAAGCCTGGTAGGTGAAGGGAACGCAGTGGATGTAGCCTACCTTGATTTCAGCAAGGCATTTGACAAGGTGCCCCATGATATTCTTGTCAAGAAGCTGGTAAAATGCGGTCTTGACTATGCTACCACTCAGTGGATTTGTAACTGGCTGACTGACCGAACCCAAAGGGTGCTCATCAATGGTTCCTCTTCATCCTGGAGAAGAGTGACTAGTGGGGTGCCACAGGGTTCTGTCTTGGGCCCGGTCTTAGTCAACATCTTTATCTACGACTTGGATGATGGACTCAAGGGCATCCTGATCAAATTTGCAGATGACACCAAACTGGGAGGGGTGGCTAACACCCCAGAGGACAGGATCACACTTCAAAACGACCTTGACAGATTAGAGAACTGGGCCAAAACAAACAAGATGAATTTTAACAGGGAGAAATGTAAAGTATTGCACTTGGGCAAAAAAATGAGAGGCACAAATACAAGATGGGTGACACCTGGCTTGAGAGCAGTACATGTGAAAAGGATCTAGGAGTCTTGGTTGACCACAAACTTGACATGAGCCAACAGTGTGACGCGGCAGCTAAAAAGCCAATGCAATTCTGGGCTGCATCAATAGGAGTATAGCATCTAGATAAGGGAAGTAATAGTGCCACTGTATTCTGCTCTGGTCAGACCTCACCTGGAGTACTGTGTCCAGTTCTGGGCACCACAGTTCAAGAAGGACACTGACAAACTGGAATGTGTCCAAAGGAGGGCAACCAAAATGGTCAAAGGCCTGGAAACGATGCCTTATGAGGAACGGCTAAGGGAGCTGGACATGTTTAGCCTGGAGAAGAGGAGGTTAAGGGGTGATATGATAGCCATGTTCAAATATATAAAAGGATGTCAAATAGAGGAGGGAGAAAGGTTGTTTTCTGCTGCTCCAGAGAAGCGGACACGGAGCAATGGATCCAAACTACAAGAAAGAAGATTCCACCTAAACATTAGGAAGAACTTCCTGACAGTAAGAGCTGTTCGACAGTGGAATTTGCTGCCAAGGAGTGTGGTGGAGTCTCCTTCTTTGGAGGTCTTTAAGCAGAGGCTTGACAACCATATGTCAGGAGTGCTCTGATGGTGTTTCCTGCTTGGCAGGGGGTTGGACTTGATGGCCCTTGTGGTCTCTTCCAACTCTATGATTCTATGATTCTATGATTCTATGATTCTATGAATAGATCATTGGTCTGAGTGCAGCTAGGCAATATGGAGGATTTTTTGTGGGTATAATTTTTGAGTAGAATATTCATTTAAACAATTTTAAAATGTTAATGACTTCCCTTCTTCTCTTTCCATGGTTCATTTTGCATATCATAAAGGTAAAGGGACCCCTGACCATTAGGTGCAGTCGTGACCGACTCTGGGGTTGCGGTGCTCATCTCGCTTTATTGGCCGAGGCAGCCAGCGTACGGCTTCTGGGTCATGTGGCCAGCATGACTAAGCCGCTTCTGGCGAACCAGAGCAGCGCACAGAAACGCCGTTTACCTTCCCGCCGGAGTGGTACCTATTTATCTACTTGAACTTTGATGTGCTTTTGAACTGCTAGGTTGGCAGGAGCAGGGACCAAACAATGGGAGCTCACCCCATCACAGAGATTCGAACCGTCGACCTTCTGATCAGCAAGTCCTAGGCTCTGTGGTTTAAACCACAGTGCCACCTGCGTCCCATTTGCATAGCATAAATCCCTGCTTATTTTACATAATCCATTGTTACATCCATCAAAACATATTTACACTGTTGAATGCTGCCAACGTTTTCAAGTGTACAATGGTACCTCAGATTACATACGCTTCAGGTTACATACTCTTCAGGTTACAGACTTCGCTAACCAAGAAATAGTGCTTCAGGTTAAGAACTTTGCTCCAGCGGCGCAGCGGCAGCAGGAGGCCCCATTAGCTAAAGTGGTGCTTCAGGTTAAGAACAGTTTCAGGTTAAGAACGGACCTCCAGAATGAATTAAGTACTTAACCCGAGGTACCACTGTACACAGTTTCCCCCATATATTCAATAAACATTTTCCAATCTTCTTTCAACGGATGTTTTTCTTGTTCTCTTATTCTATATGTTAGGTCCACAAGCTGCGCATATTCCATCAGTTTAAGTTGCCATTCTTCTTTAGTTGGGACCCCTCTCGTTTTCCATTTTTGGGCTAACAGAACACGAGCCGCAGTAGTGGCATACATAAATAACCTTTTTTGACACCTGGGAATTTCCGCCTGAATTATCCCCAACAAAAAGGACTCTGCTTTTTGGGGGGAGGTACTTTTAAACATTTATTTCAATTCGTTATGAATTATTTCCCAATGGTCTTTGACCCTTTTACAGGTCCACCACATATAAAAGAACGTACCGTCAACCTCATTGCATCTCCAGCACTTATCTGATTCAGTCTTAGATTGAATCAGACAATAGGGAAGTCTCTTGGTCTGATGCAGCTGGGCAGGTTTCATGTTATGCATCAAAGGAAGACTGGATAGAAAGTTTTGGAAGATCCTATCGGTCATCTGTTACTGGAAGTGAATCCAATATTAATGTTGGGAAAGCATAAGCAGAGGTTGCATGGGGACTGAAATGTGCTCTCAAGAGTCAGTGGCATATAGTTGATAGCTGCAGACCTTGGTCTCGCTAGTTCTCCAGCCGGGGAAAGAAGAGAGTGAGTAATGGAAGTATTAAAGCTAATAACAAGCTGTAGGTGAATTCTAGACCTCAAACGTACGGCGTTCAGTTTAGTTTCTGCAGTGGATGGTGTGAGGATGAAATAAAATCAATTCTTTTATGGGAGGAAATCATAAATACTGCTAAGTTTCGCTTTCCTGCATGATCTTTCAAGCTGCACAGTAAGTAATTTGTCACTTTTGAGAGGTGTGGGAAGTGAAAAGTTAATTCTTCAAAAGGAGGGGGCGCTCAAGGAATGTAATTGACTGGGCTTTGGGAGAAGGTGATTTGTCTAGCCTAGCAAACTTATCCTTTGAGTTAAAGCGGAGCTGTCAGATCAAGCAGTTTGATCCAAAATTTAGTAAACGATCTTAGAAAAAAGATTCTAGAAATTTTCTTCAGGTTCATAACACTGTACAGATGTTTCTAATATGACTACTAATCTCACCAGCTTTCCAATAAACTGAAGTTTCACATGCAAACTTGAGCTTCTAACACCATGTATTCAGGGCTGTCTTAAGCATATCTGGCGCCGTGGTGCAAAGATCCCTACGGCGCTCCCCCCCCCCTTCCCAGAGTTCATCTTTTTTTAGGGCTGGAGGAGGCGAGCAGTGGCTGGAGGGCGGCTCCTCCAGCGGGGAAGAGGCAGAGGCTGGATGTGGCACCTCCTGGCTCAGCTGGCCACTTTGTGCCGCGGTGACCATGGCAGTTAGCACACCGAGTGAGCGGGCCTGCGCCGAGCATGCGAGGGCGCATGCTCTGCTCCCGCCAAGCATTGCCTCGGTTTTTTCCCTTTTAGCCTTCTGGCGCCCCACTGAATTCGGCGCCTGCAGGCTAAAAGGGAAAAAACCAAGGCAACGCTCAGCAGGAGCAGCGCACGCACCCTCGTTCACTCAGTGCACTCATTCGGTGTTCCCCAGACTCTCATCTGGCACCCTCCAGAATCTGGTGCCCTGGCGCCTTGCGCCACTAGCCTCAATGTGTAAGATGGTCCTGCATGTATTGTTGCATGTGAACATTGTGTTCTAACCATCTAGATAGATACAGTGTGGAAGTTGCAGGTTGTGCAAATTAAAGTTGATTTGTAATACCTCCAAGAATTACATGTTGGACAACTTCAGCAGCGACAGTAGTTCAGAATATTTTCTTGTTAGATAAGCATGCATACAGCTGAAATTTTAAACAAATGGATGTGTTTTGTTGGAATAAAACAATATTAATAGAACTTAAAGGGAAATCTATCAATAGTCGCACTTTACATAACAATAAGAGAACCATAATGTGGCTAACAATCGAAATTTGCACTTATCCAGATTTTGCAATGCAATTCTCCAACCAATCTTTGAAACATACATGTATTAGGGGAAAGTGTGAATACAAATTAATGTATTAGTGAAAATAATGTTTAAAAAACAATTATATAAGGGGAGATTGCTAGCAAAAATGTGCGTGTTACCCAAAAGTGCATACCAAATGTGCTTATTAGGAGAAATTCACACAAAAATGCTGATTAATTTTCACAAATATATATATATATATATATATATATATATATATATATATATCTGTATTTATTTAAGAGAGGACATGTGTTTCAATAACCGAGGAATAAAGAAATAAAGGATGTGAATACAACTGAAAATTAAACATACACACAAAACAAATTTGGCTTATTATGTTCACAATCCTTGAAAAAATATTATTGTTGGTATAGGGAATGAGGGTAGTAACATTTTAGATTTTAATTATGTTACATTATTCTAGATTTTGTTATTCTAGATTTTAATTATTGTATTCTATTCCGTAGGATAACACAAATATTTGAGAGATACAGAAACAAGGATTTTTTAAACAAAAAATTATGCACAAATGACTACAGAAATGTGGAGAACTTAATTTAAGATGGAAAAATGAGAAGCTGAAAGGACTAGAATTAACAGGTTCGTCCATCCCTACTTATATGAAATACCCATCACACATCCCAGATTGAGCTTTCATATAGTTTCTCAGCACCCCAAACCTTTTTTCAATGAGATGTTGCTCATATTCAGGTGAGTGAGTGCCAGTCAGTGATCCAGTTTCATCATCCACTAGTTAATGCAACATTCTAGTCCTTTTCGCATTACCATATATAGAGGGTAAGCATGTTGAATAGAGGCTCAGGACCACACACTTAGCCCTACCCTCAAACATGCTCCTCCTGCCCGCCCACCCCAGTTTATCCATCATTCTGTTCAGGATAATGTCTGCAGTAGGGAGTCTTCGCTCTGCACAGAAGCTCCCCATGCTATTTTAGGCCCCTTGCTGATTAGGGATGTATTCACACAGACGGCCTGCATGCAGAGAGAATGATCCCGACTTCAAACCTAATTCTGAACTCAGTGACAGCAAAGGTAGGGGCTGGAGAAACAACACAGAATTGTGGGATGGAATTACATTCAACACATGTGCAAATAATCCATGAATAATCTGATGCAGTAGATTTACTCACTTGGTTGTTACTTACACAGAAGCACATTTCAAAACTAAAACTATTTAAAACGCCAAACACTTTTTAATGTACATTCAACAAAACAAAAAAAACTATATCCTTACTGCAAAACAGAGAAAACAGACGTAATCAGCCAATTAATATGGTGAGTGACAATTCCAACGGCCACAAACCAACCTTATGTTGTTCTTCAGTGGCATATAAATGTGAATTAGTTGAGTAACTGATCTAGAGTAGTCAAATTCATGCTTGCCTCAATAAGGAGCCTCACACTTAAAAGATGAAAAGAGCACATTTCCATTATTCTGTATATAATAGGTTTCATAGCATATGATAACCCACCATTTATTTATTTTTAAAAAGAAAGTTACAATGGGAAATGCTCCGCTCCCAAAACCCTTCAAATGTGTTTATGTATAAGCAATAACAAACTGAGTAAAATCTGTTGCATTGTATTATTCTCAACTTCTATACCGTTTCTGAGGATTGCAGCGAGCCCCTTTCTGCTCTTCCCGAACAGCTGATCAACTCCTTTTTATTGGCAGTGCTGCTGAAGTTCAAAAATAACAGGCTTGAAATAAACATTTCCCCAGCTTGCAATACTTTAACTGTATTGCAAGTCAAATTTCCTTGCCTTGAGATTCTTACTCTGTTGTTAAAATTGAGATATATTCTGAGCGTATGTGTCATTTTCATGCTGGAGCAGCTTACCGCCAGCAACACCATTTAGATATTCAAAGCCAGTGGCCATGGTTGGTTCTTTGCAAAAGGTGATCATTTAACCCAGGGCTGCTGTAAGACCTTTAGAGGCCCTAAGCACTTAAAAGATTTTGGTGCCCCCCATATATACCTAATTCAAATTACAGTCATACCTCATGTTGCATCCACTTCAGGTTACTTGTTTTCATGGTGCATCCTGCAGAAACCCAGAAGTACCAGAACGGGTTACTTCTGAGTTTCGCCGCTCGCGCATGCGCAGAAGCGCTAAATCGTGCCGCACGTGTGCACAGATGCAGCACTTCGTCTTGCATCAGTTCCATGTTACAGACGGGCCTCCAGAACGGATCCCGTCTGTAACAAGAGGTTCCACTGTATAAACAATAATAAACCATAAAATGCATTTTTATTTTTCAAAATGAAACAAAACTTACAGTAAGATGGAAAATAATGCTTATTTTTGTATACATCCACTTTATTTATATGGGGGGGGGTTTCTCCTACTTTTTCTAATTGCAAAGTCCATGGTATATCCAGCAAAGAAAGATTTCTTAGGTGTACGCTTTCCCTTGATGCCCTAAGCATGTGCTTATTTTGCTTAATGGTTAATCCAGCCCTGATTTAATCAATATATCCTCTCCTACCTTCTTCAACATTTCCACAGCTTCCAACACTAAGGCCAAACAGGTCCTGAGCCTGAGGAAAAGGTGACACCTCAAATGCCAGAATGAAACCTGGCCCATTCAGAGAAATGTGTGACTACAGGCAAGGACTCCTCAGGAGTAATGGTCTCCTCAGGCATAAAGCCCTCTTCTCAAGGAGGCATCTGGAGAGAAGGGAGTAGATAGGAGTCATCTACAGTTGGGGTGTGGTCCCAGCAGTTTCAGTTCAGAAAACCTAGACCGGAAGAGCTTGTGGAACAGCCTGCTACCTGTAGGGGTTCTGCTTCTCCAGTGTGGTCCTTGCAATGAATATGTTGGTGAAGCAGCCCCTAGCAGGATTAAATACTCTGCTTGCAGCTGAATGAGCAGGAGGCTCAATCTGGCTCTCTGCAGTCCAGTTGCAGGGAACGGCATATATTTCCTTCCCTACCCCTCTGGACTACATTTGTGATTAGGGATTAAAAGGCTAATTGAAAATTACTGCTGGTCCTCAAATCAACAGGGGGCCTGGATCTGTGTCAGGTCATCCCCAGATTGGCTTGGTTTGAAGCTGATCCAAAGTCCTGGATTGAATAAGTGCACAGTCCCACCATGTTCCTTTCTTAATCTTCTGAGATTTTTCAAGCCTCCCCTCCCCCTTTCCTTTTAAAACTTCTTTGTTAAGCCCTGCGCTGCTCATGGTACTACAACGCTCTCTCTGAAGCTGTCTCCTATCTAAGTCTTATGACTGATACCATATCCATCACTCCCAAGACATTTTGGGGAATGTGAATATTTCAGAGAAGTTTACTCCCCCCCCCCAAAAAAAAGAAAACCTAACAGAAAACCATCTCCCGTTTTGGCATGGGGGTGGGAATATTTTGGGAAACTGGGCTTTTGGTCCAGACATAGTTGGGCAATTATGCTTATCAATATTGCAGGGCCAGCATCAGTCTGAGCTGGTTTGAGGAATCATGCACGCCATGTTCATTTGTAGAAGAAGAAGTAGAGTTTGGATTTGATATCCCGCTTTATCACTACCCGAAGGAGTCTCAAAGCGGCTCACAGTCTCCTTTCCCTTCCTCCCCCACAACAAACACTCTGTGAGGTGAGTGGGGCTGAGAGACTTCAGAGAAGTGTGACTATCCCAAGGTCACCCAGCAGCTGCATGTGGAGGAGCGGAGATGCGAACCCGGTTCACCAGATTACGAGTCCACCTCTCTTAACCACTACACCACACTGGCTCTCTTATAGATGGAATTTCCTCTCCGCCTCAGATTACAGAGGCAGGAGCCTGCTTATGTAACATAGGGCCCTTAGATGGATCAGTGCAAACATGATTTTAAAAGATATTCTATCCATGGCCTTATCAGTTTGAACCCCATAGTATGAAATTTAGTTGCCTAAGTACTTGAAAACAATCAAGTCTTGTGTGTGCGTGCACACAGACGTAAATGGAATTTCAGAAAAGAAATAAATTGGAAACATGGTATTCATGCAGCTAGGACAGTAATGTTCATTCAATTAAGTAAAAGCAAGTATGGAATTAAAATAAAATAAAATGCTTTCAGTACTGAAATCTGGAGAGCCTTATTACCAACCCAACCTTCTGGATATCTGTGAAGAAACAATGAAGTTGAAGCAAACTGGAATAGTTTGAAGAAAAATACCTAAGCCTAATTATTCAGACAGTTTTATTTAAATACCTATGGGTATATATAGCTTATCCAATTGTAATATAAATGCCATGGGAAAGAAAGAAAGAAAAAAACCCAGTGTAGGCAAAGCTGAGAGACTGTGTTTTGCAGATACGGGGAAATTGGAGCACCTCCTAGCTAGAAAATGAGATTATGGGGCAATCCCATAACTAGTTATGCAGGAATGGGGGTATGGAACAAAGGGAGCTGCCTAATCGTGAATCAGCCCTTTCATCCATCTACCTGTAGTATGGTCTGCACTGACTGGCAGGAGCGCTCCAGGATTTTGTACAGGGAACCATCCCAGCCCTACCCAGAGATGCTGGAATGACCGCAAGACCTTCTGCATGCAAAGCTGGTGATCTAGCATGGCCCTTCCCCATCATTGCTTTGTTGGTGGAATCCTATATATGCTCAGCTTAGGAGGGGAAAGAAAATCACTCAACCAGAAAATACAAACAAAGCATACAAAATGACACACGCACACCCAGCCAAATGGTCCAATACAAGGCACTTGAGTATCTTCTCAAAGCACATGGCCTAACTCTTTAGAATCTAGATACCTCAAGAATTGTGGAAAGAAATGAGGCTAATTCCAACCTGCAAATCTCATGCATAGCAAACATGACCATCAAAATGGGTGACTCATTTCAAATTCACATCACAGGACTTCTGAAAATAAGCAGAGCTGCAACTCGTCAAAACTGTTCACTTAATATCCCCCATTGGAGCTACATTTAGCAAGGTCCATCAGGGCCTTTCTTTCTGGTGCTCAATGGAGGGTTTCTCTTTAACTTCATCTTCTATCTGTACTCTGCAAGAGTTCGACCACGGGATGAGATTCGTGACTGTGTTGTGATACCCAACCACCTCAATCGTAAATGTCATGTTTTATCCATGCATATTTATAGCCACCTCTTCTTGAAGGTTTGCTCTGTAGCTGTTAAAATAAGCGGCGGGGAGGATACAAAGACGGCGAGAGCCATTGCTATATATCTTTCTTATACTGACACATAAATGTATGTAAGAGACATAATGTAAACTGCTACCAGCTATAGCAAGCCATTGTTATATAGGGTTGGAAAACAGGCCTATAACATTCTAAAGCCTACCATACCAATTACTCATGAGAGTGACCTTGGCCAGGGCATATACTCAGAAAGCTCCATTTCATCAACCATAAAATTTATTTGGCAATTTTACCTGTCTCAAAGGGATTATTTAATGTCTGTTCAAAGCTTTCAACTTTCAAAACAAATTCCAAATCCAGAGAATCATTGCAAATACATGCCAATAAAGGTGTTAAGTAGGGAAGGGTTGTTTTTACAATTAGCCATTAACTTATACAAGTGGAACATAAAACTGAAATATCATCTTTGTGCATTAGCAGCACCTTATCAAAGAGACATAGATGTTCCCATAAATCATCACTGGCATATAGTGTTGTCATCATAGGTATACCTCTCCAGCAGCCCAGAGTTGAAGAACCCTTTGCAGCCCAAAAGTCAGTTCCTTTCCAGGCAACCTTCCAAGGGTCACATGCTAATATTGGGCAGATCCAGAGGAAGAAGTGGGCAGAGCAGTTAATGCGAATTTTAGCTAGTTTGTACACATGCTCACATGCCCTTCTCTTGTCCACCCAGAGATGCAAAAGGCATGATCAGAATTTAAGGATACATACCAGTCAAGCAAAAACACTTAGGCTCTAAAGCAGTGGCATGGAAGAGTATGTCCTGCAGAGAGAGAGTGAGCCTGGAGTGAGTTCCATGGACCAGATGATGATGATGGTGCTGGTGGTGGTGATGGTGATGGTGATGGTGATGGTGATGATATTTATACCTCGCCCATCTGGCTGAGATGCCTCAGCCACTCTGGTTGGCTTCCAACAAATATAAAAACAGAATAGAAAGGCTTGTGGGGCACATGAGGCTCTTAATCTCAGGGCTGTGGGTTCAAGCCCACATTGGGCAAAAGATTCCTGCATTGCAGCCTTGTGGTCCCTTCCAACTCTACAATTCTATGATTCTAAATTCACGAGGCCTCAGATTCCCCACCCCTGTTATAGACTTTAAGACTTTGCTGTTTTATCCACATCAAGTTGTTTCACAGAAGACATTTTTATAGGAACAATAAAATACCTGAAGGAGCATATCTACCTCCATAATTCTGAGGTCCAGCACAGAGGGCCTTCTGGTGGTTCCCTCACTATGTGAAGCCAAGTTACAGGGAACCAGGCAGAGGGCCTTCTCGGTAGTGGCGCCTGCCCTGTGGAACGCCCTCCCACCAGATGTCAAAGAAAAAAATAACTACCAAACTTTTAGAAGGCATCTGAAGGCAGCCCTGTTTAGGGAAGCTTTTAATGTTTAATAGGTTATTGTATTTTAGTGTTCTGTTGGAATCCACCCAGAGTGGCTGGGGAAACCCAGCCAGATGGGCATGGTATAAATTATTATTATTATTATTATTATTATTATTAAGGGGAAATTGAGGTGCTGCAGTAGATTAGCAATAAGACTGATGGAGCTGAGTATACTTTTTCAATGCCATGTCATGTGTCGCAAAGAGCCAGTTGATCGGCCATTCTCAACCCACTTGCTTTGGAATAACTGCAGATTTTTCAGTACATTATTTGAAAAGTAACAACCCTCTGCTTTCTTGCTTTGGAAGCAAGATAAACCGTGTCTAATGATGATTGGTCTTTAGAGACATGCAGAGCAATACGCAGAAGTAACTCCCAGAGTGTTCAGTGCAGCTTACTTCCAAGTAAGTCTGTAGAGGATTGTAGCCATAGGCTCCTGTGGCTAAGTAGATGGCACCTACTGTTGCAGGGTGAAATAAATCACAGTGCAAGAGCACTCCATTGCTCTTCTGTGGGAAAACAGCTTTTGAGGGTCTACCCACCAGCAAAGCAGGCAGGAAGGGGAGACGGGTGTAGCTAAGTGGGATTTCTGATCTGTAAAATCAGAGGCAAAGGAAAGAGCCAGAGAAAATGAACAAACTTGAAAAAGATGAAATCTGATTTTTTTGCTAACAAACCATCTGAGCTTTGGGCATCTGTGGTGAAGAAGATTCCCTAGGCACCACTCACAATAAACTGATTGCTTCCTTGTTAGATGTTAGCTCAGTTGGTAGAGCAGGAGATGCCTAATCTCAGGGCCGTGGGTTCGACTCCTGCATCGCAGGAGGTTGGACTAGATGACCCTCATGGTCCCTTCCAACTCGGCAATTCTATGATAGAGATTAGGTGTCAGGAAGACTGCAGTGACAGGATTCAAATGGAGGATGGCAGAAGCCCCATGCAGACAATGGTTGTAGTGTGCATGTGGGTATATTAGGATTCTGCCATTCTCCCTACTCCCAACCCCATGCTTTAGCTGAAAGCGAATAGAGCCTACAGGTATACCACTTGCATATGCATTGCCTCTCCATAAGCATATGAGTCAGCGACCTCACTTTTTGCAGGACTTCTGATTTCTCTCAAATACTTTTGCTAGAAAGAAGGGATGGTAGCTGCAAACCTTCCACAGCCCACTGAATGCCTGCACAGGGATAAAGTTAAACAAACTGGAGCACTGAGCTCTCCATGGTACTTAGCACTGTACAGAAATACTGTCTAGAAGGTGGGCTCAGAACCTTGCTCAGCACTGTCAAGTTCATCACTGAGAGAGTTGCCTCACCCATACAGCCCTCCTCCCTCAGAGAGTATCATCCCCTCTCACTGAAAGGCATTTATATTATAAATGCAAATACAAATGAAAGTTTATCATGAAAGCTTTAAAAAGGGAAGCTGTCTGCACACAAACACACACACACACAAAGGTCCTGAGTTTTGGGTGAGACTCAGACATTTTCCATCCCCATCTTCAGTCAAGATGTCCAAGATTCTTGACATCTTCCACATCACTTCATCTGTTTTGACTCCGGTTCATGACAGATGCCTGCCCTTTGCTGGATTCTCATACACAGGCCTCATGCGTCAAGAACACAATTCATTATGCCTATCTATTGTGTGTGTCATAGAAAAAGTAGAGTTGAAAGGGAACACAAGGGTGGGCGTATTTAACTTCATGTCACGACATTGCCCACTGTGGCATATATCTGTCAGAGCTCTAAAATAACTGATTTGATTTTTTTATCCTTCCCTTTTGTTTTGTTAGAAAGATGAAGGCCAAAAAAACCAACCCAACCTTTTACTGCTAGCTGTCCTTCAGGATGCTTGCCCCAGTCATGTATGCTTCAGAGTTCATACATGGACTGGGATGGTCAGTCACTGCATGATGTAGAAATATATAAATATGTAAAGTTGGGCGGCAAAGAAAGGATGGTGTGTTTTGTTTTGAGCAAGCTCATTTACGGCTGCTTCAAGTGTATTAGTCCAACTGAGGATAAGCACTATGATAACTAACATCAGAATGATTTATGTCCACAGTTCCATTTGCTACAGCCTTTCAAGACACAAAGCCATAACCTAAGCTGCTATCCATTCCAGACAAGTTATGCTATAGACAGACAATGCATTACAAGGACCGCTTTGAAAAAGCTTGGCTGGGAATTGTTATTACAGAGGTCTGCTGTCCTCAGGCAGGATTAAAGAGGTCATAGCTCTTTTTGCAAGAATACATCCCTGGTGTCCTGACTAAACTCCACTCTGAATAATTACTACCTCTGCCCTACATAAATTCAAGCTACAGTTTTAATTATGCATAATATCAAATGTTAAAAACAAATCAGGCGCTTGGGCCAAAGGAGAAAGTGCACCTACATCCCCAACCCCCACCCCAATATATTTCCCTCAGGAATGTCCCCAGCTGTTTTTTTTAATTTCTGACAAGTTCAAAAAGCAAGCAAATGAAACATCTAGGGAATTGTGAAGTATGTATATTGTTGTTATCATTATTGATGTGGCAGCTAGACTGGTGACTGGGGGCAGCCACCTAGACCATATAACACCAGTCCTGAAAGACCTACATTGGCTCCCAGTATGTTTCTGGGCACAATTCAAAGTGTTGGTGTTGACCTTTAAAGCCATAAATAGCCTCGGCCAAGTATACCTGGCATACTTTTGCGTATAAGCTTTGGACGGTCCCATGGTGTTGCTGATGCAGTGCAATAAACTTGGAGAATAGTTCTGCTCCTGTAACCTTGCAGTCACAAGAAGATTCCCCATCTGCTTAGGTCCAGCTCCTAGGCTTGTTCTCACGATCACATAACTGAGGCTGCAACACTATACCTGCCTACGTACCCGAAAGTATGCCTCATTAAAAGTCGGTGGGATTTACTTCTTTGTAGGCATGTATAGGACCGTACTGCCCAGTTACCAGGCTCTGCAAAAGTATCTGTCTTCTTTATTTATGCAGATGAATTGGGATACATCCCATAAAGTTCTGATTGTGCTGTTTCTCTTTCCGCCTGACAGCGTCATCCATAAATCACAATGATATCTGTAATTCACTGTGATTAGCCCATTAATATCATTAATCAGACAAATAGAATTTACCAACCTAGTCTGCATATCCTTGATTCTTCTCAATTAATATTCTCTCTCTTACACTCACTGCTGTTACTTTTTTTTTTTTTTTTAGGAACGTCAACCCATCAGGCATGCTGTCATGCCTTACTTGCTTTTTTAAAAATTGCCCAATCAGTTCCATCATACAGTTTATATTGTGCCTTCTTGTTGTTACAATGAACAGCATAGAGAATGTGATGCAAGCCTTGGGCATCTTCCTACAATATAAGGCTTGTTTGTTAGAAGGGACGCGGGTGGTGCTGTGGGTTAAACCACAGAGCCTAGGACTTGCCGATCAGAAGGTCGTCGGTTCGTACCCCCGTGACGGGGTGAGCTCCCGTTGCTCGGTCTCAAAGTGCAAGTAGATAAACAGGTACCGCTCTGGCGGGAAGGTAAACGGCATTTCCTTGTGCTGCTCTGGTTCGCCAGAAGCGGCTTAGTCATGTTGGCCACATGACCCGGAAGCTGTATGCCGGCTCCCTCAGCCAATAAAGCAAGAGGAGCGTCGCAACCCCAGAGTCAGTCACGACTGGACCTAATGGTCAGGGGTCCCATTACCTTTTTACTGTTTGTTAGAACTCACACCTTCTGTCCAGGCTCTGTTTTGGAAGGCAAGCTATACCACCCTGTGTAGCAGTTACTTGTGAAAGACAGAGATGGTCCTCTGCTGAAGCTACTGGCTTCCTTAGGATACGAAAGAAAGAAAGAAAGAAAGAAAGAAAGAAAGAAAGAAAGAAAGAAAGAAAGAAAGAAAGAAAGAAAGAAAGAAAAGGTGAGGAGGACACAACCATTCAGCATATGATTTACTCTGGCACAACGGAAATTCCTCTTCATCTCTCCTCCTCTCCCTGTGTGTCCTGCCCAGGGGTTTGAGGAAACCCCAACAACAGATTTGAGAGGCACAGAGGGGAAGAGAAGTTTAGCTGTGCAAGTAGAAGTCCTTCCAAAATAAGATGACTTCATTGAATAGAACCCAAGGCTTTGTTTATGGAATGGAGCAACCTTGCAAAGAGATTAAACATAACCCCCAATGAAGTAACAAAATAAAACAGCTTCCCAACAAATAATGGTGGTCATCAGATGGAAACTTCTCTGTCTTTACTGATCTTCATGCTAAGGCAACCCATGATGAGCTTCTGAGGGCTTTATGGAACACAGGAATTCCAGGGCTTTATGGAACACAGCTGGAAAACAACTGGAGCTGAGGTATGGAATGGAGGATTTACATAAGAGCCCATCGCCCGGTTGCTTGGCCCATGTATGGCCTAATAATCATTCGTCAAGCTGGCAAGATGACCTAACCAATAAATCTAAAAGCTAGGGAGCATCATAAAGCTCACCAGTTGAAATGCTGGGACCCTGGAGACTGGGGGTTTGAGGCAGAAGGGGCTGACCCACCATAGAAATTACAGTATCAAATGATAGTCCCCCTGCCTTCCTACAAACTTGCTCCTGGAATGAGATTTTACTACATTATGTCCCTAGACTCTATGCGTAAGTGCTAAAGTAAGATGGAATCTATTTCAGTGCTGCTGACAATGGTAGATAAAAAGTAATGCATAATTCAGCTCTTGTGAGAGAGCAAACAGTCAGAGACATTTACATTTCAGCAGTTCAGGCCCATTAGTCCATCCCACTGTATAGGATTTTTTTTTCCTCGGAAAGGAATTTTTCTACCTTGCTTTCAGGCCAAGTAGCCAGAGATTGATTCAAGAGGGAACCCTACTGGGGGAAGGGGGCGGTCAATTCAATGTCTAGCTTCTGAATTATTATTATTTCTTCTCCACACTCTTGGTTCGCAGGGAAAGGAATATTCAGCAGTGGCTCCTGCCACATCTTCAAGGATTTGTAAGGGGTTTTTAGAATGGAGAAGTAGGTCTTACTAACTAATATTGCAGGATTGCAGAACCACTGCCACCCCTAGTCTGAGCTGGATGGATTGTAAATGAGGAAGATCTGGGACCTGCAAAAATGCACTACAGCCCAATTAGTCAAAGCAATACATCAGAACTCAGATAAACCAGTTGACATTTTGCAGCTTTATAGAAATGTATAGGATATAAGCACAACACACACTTATAAAAGAGATACTGAAGGATTTCCACCAAGCAAAATAATTGTAAAATGGAGTCTGGGATGTAAAATTTCAAGTCAAAGCCCAACTTTATATATTATTCTCACATATATTAATTCGTCATTCTTCTTATAAATATAACAGTAACTATTCATAGCAAAAAAGTGTTCTAACAGTGCTCTTTAAATCATACTTGGCTATTTGGATATAAATGTATGTGATATAGGAAGCCCTGAACACATATTTTTTAGATGTCCCTTTTACGATGAGGCACGTAGAGAAACCATTGACCCCCTGCTGGTGAGGCTCTCTGACCTCCCAGCAAAGCAAAAATTCGATCTTCTCCTGTTAGGCAAAGACTGCAAGACAACCTGGATTGTCGCCAGATTCTGCGCACAGATCTGTAAGCACAGACCATCCCCCGATTCAATCTTGTTTGTTAAGAAAATTCCCAAACCCGGATCCATGGATGACTTTTGGGTCATTTCTCTAAGGTAGTCTATTTTAAAGTTTTGATGTGTTTATTGTTGGTTTCTATTTCCTTCACTGTGCAGCTCTGCTTGTCACGAGACAGGTGTTTACATTCCACAGTCTGTACTGT